TTATAATTTAAATGTAATTCATATTAAGTACAAGGAAAATTATTCCTAACAAAGATGTGTATTTTGTACTTCTTAAAGGTCCGAACACCACAGTATTAGATACAATTTGGTTGTGGAGTCTTCTTCTCTGGAGACAATGTGCCCTTGCGGCCAAGAAGGCCAATGGCATCCTGGGGTGTATCAGAAGGGGGGTGGTTAGTGGGTCAAGAGAGGTTCTCCTTCCCCTCTACTCTGCCCTGGTGAGACCACATTTGGAATATTGTGTTCAGTTCTGGGCCCCTCAGTTCAAGGACAGGAAATTGCTTGAAAGAGTCCAGCGCAGGGCCACAAGGATGATGGAGGGAGTGGAGCATCTCCCTTATGAGGAGCGGCTGAGGGAGCTGGGTCTCTGTATCCTGGAGAAGAGGAGACTGAGGGGTGACCTCATTAATGTTTATAAATTTGTAAAGGGCGAGTGTTAGGAGGAAGGAGCCAGGCTGTACTCTCTGATGTCCAATGACAGGACAAGGGGCAATGGGTGCAGGCTGGAACATAGGAGGTTCCATGTGAACATGAGGAAAAACTTTTTTACTGTGAGGGTTACAGAGCACTGGCACAGGCTGCCCAGAGAGGTTGTGGAGTCTCCTTCTCTGGAGACATTCAAAACCAACCTGGACGCGTTCCTGTGTGACCTAGTCTAGGTGATCCTGCTGTGGCAGGGGGGTTGGACTGGATGATCTTTTGAGGTCCCTTCCAACTCCTAATATTCTGTGATTCTGTGATTTACTGAAGTCTACCCAGAAGCCTTCACTGGACCTTCAAGTGTTGCTCTAACAAAGACTCATTACATATGAAATATAACTTCATCTGGCTTGAAGTTAGGCAAAGAAATACTTCATTAATTAACTTCTTTCATGGTCTTAATTATCTTTCATTTAAACTCAGAGATGATCCTTAGAGAATTTGATGTACCATTGTTAAAATTTGTAGACAGAGCTATTTTGTCTGACCCAGCAGTTTTGACATACAAAACCAGATGTCCAATTTAAAATGCATGCATCTCCGCCTTCATTCTTTATCAAATTACCTGACACTTTTTAGTGAACTGTATCAACTTTAGTCTCTTCAATTCTTACAGACATATATATAACATATAAAGAAATTAAATCAACACAAATCCTCTGCTGGTTTCTAGAAAGTTGCTTTAAAATTACCATATTGTTCTCAGTGTCTGGCCTTGGCTCTCCTATCCTGGGTTCTCATACCTTTCTACACCGAAATTTTAAAGTGCAACACCGCACTGACAGTGAGCCATGAAAGTAGGATCATTTGAAATAAATTATGTATTTCTGAAGGTCCAAAGTTTTAGAGAGTTATTTAAACTTTAAGATTCATTTTAGAAAAATCACTGTCTTTGCATAATTTTCAATGGATAAATTGGGTAATAAAAGCCTTGACTCTTCAACCTCCTCTCACCCAATTCTGAAAATCATGTCATAGGATCTGGATCAGAAATGAACACTCTCAGCTCCTTGGAAAAATGTTAGTCACAGAAATATCTCATAAAATGAGCAGTGCTCAGCTTGGCAACAGGTTCACATTTGCTTTTTGCGAGCAAAAAAAGGAAGATTTTTACTTTGCTATTGTAGGATTACTTGACTGTTATAAAATCCCACATTCCATGTACTTTAATGTGCTATGCTGAAAGTCTTTGCCTTCACGAGGCTCAGAATTGCATCATCCATGCTTATAGTGACCTAGATCCCAGGTATTTTTCTAAACCCACCGCCCAGTGGATGAGACGGTTAAAATACAGTACAAAATAACTTCTGCCACAGGATGGAAAGCCCACTGGTTTTTATCTTTGGATCAAATTCTGCAACAGCTTCTTTTTATTTGGCAAAACATTTTATATCCCAGAATCCATCTTTCTGTAAGGCTAAGTGGACAAATTCTGTAGTGTTACATTACATTACGGCTAACATTACATTTGAAGAGGGATTTTTCACTGCTGCGAAGTAAGTCTTGTTCGTTAGGGCTTCTGAGACTTTCAGTCAGCATTCCCATGTTTACATGACTTGCTAAAACTCAAGAATTCATGCTTGCCATCTAGTGGCTTTGAACAGAATTAGGAACAACCTGTTAGCAAAGTAGATTTTTGTGTCTGTGTGTGTGCTAAAAGATCACAGAATGGTAGGGGTTGGAAGGGACTTCTGGAGATCATCTAGTCCAACCCCCTACAAAAGCAGGTTGACCTAGAGCAGGTTGCACAGGATAGTGTCCCCGGCGGGTTTTGAATATCTTCACAGAAGGAGACTTTACAACCTCTCCAGGCAGCCTGTTCCAGTGCTCTAGTCAAGTAAGTTTTTCCTTAAGTTCAGAGGGAATTTCCTGCGTTCCAGTTTGTGCCCATTGCCTCTTGTCCTGGTACTGCGCACCACTGAAGAATCTGGTTCCATCCTCGACACCCTTTAGATATTCATATGCATTGATAAATATGTGTTTTCCAAAATTTATGTCTATGTTTAAAAAAAAACAAAAAAATGTTCTGGAATTGTACCTGGAAAAGTGAACTATTCCCTCCATGTAACCATTAAGTGAACACAGAAAGAAAACAGTGGATTAATACATGGCCACTGAGCTTCCTGTGAAAAGAACAGCCATGTGACAGACCTGCACGGACTGTGGACTCTGAGGACTCTTCATATCCAACGTGTCCTTCCTCAGAGCAGTTCCAGAAATCCAAGCAGCACACAAACATTCTTCATCTCCCTTCGTTAAAATAAAATTGTTACCCATTTGCAAAAAAAAATGGTAAATAAGATCCCAGAGGGCTGATATGACTGTCTGGTTCTGATCTGCAGAAAATGTGCATACTTCAGAGTATTCATTAATTCAGATCATTAAACAGAAGACAGAAGCAGTTCAGCCTAGACCCTCCTAAGCTCCCTGTCCAGCTGAATGGCCTAATCTCCAGGTTGTGGTAAGCTGCTACATTTTATGTTCTTCGTCTAGTTTAATTTCACTTCGTACTTTTGGATATAAAGGAATGTATCTTTAACAAAAGGAGCAGAAAATACTTCTCTCGTTGTGCGAGTTTTCTTTCTGAAATTACCACCTAAAATAAATAACCCATCAGAATTTGTTAACTAGGATTTAAATTAAACTAGTGCTAGCAAAATTGCACATACTAAAAATGGTCTCTAAATTTGGCTCAACTCTCTGAATACTAGCATGTCCTAATGTGAGTAGAAATACTTAGAATATCTATGAAATGTTAAGAAAATGGTAAACTATATGGCTGGGGAAAATAACATTATCTCAGATGAAGGAATGAGGAGGGGAGAACAGTTGGAACTGCAGGAACAGTTGGTCTTCACAGTTTTTATAGCCTTGATATAATCAGGGAGTCTACAGAAAGACCAAACAAGCAGTGCGAGGAAGGTCTGCTTTCAACTACAAAACCTCAATGAAGCATACACAAGAACTTGCCATTTGTGGAGCCTCTATAGTTCTTAAAGAACCTCAAATCTAGACCAGAAGATAATTCCATGCTTTTGCATTACCATGGAAGTACCCTCATATTTATTGCATGGATCATCAAGACAGGCACACATAATAATATACACCTGGTATTGAATTAATGCTTATTTTAAATCTCTAAATCTATTTACTTTAAAAGCCACAAATCCACTATGGACTAGAGTATGTATAAAATTTTGCTTTTCAGTAGTCTTCATATACATGGCTTTTATAGAAGTTTCTAGCATGTTCCAGAATTTCCAAAACAATGACTGTGGGGAAAACAGAGTACACAATTGCAAATGACTGAATTTTGGTACAATCTTCTCCTGGCCACCTGTCTGCTTTTTGGGGGGGTGAAGGGTGGATGAGGAATAAAATTTAATAAGTTATTTTCAAAAGTAATATAATGAACAGACACTTGGGCTTAACAAAGAGGCTCTCTTTACATAAGTATAGATGCCAAATAAATTTACTAGCATTTGACAAGTTCTGTGCAATTTTTGAATGCACAAATTGTAGTGTTCATCAATAAAATACCTCATGACAAAAGATCTCATCTCATGAATGTACAGTATAACATTGATTTAAACAATACAAACAAGGAAATGGCAAAATGCACTATCATTCAAGTATTTCCAATACCAACAGCTAGGAGGCATGCATTAACTGGATATCATCAACTTGAATCTCACTATTTTATCTTCATTTAAGAAAAATTAAACTTTAACCTGGAAACTCCCCTAACATTTCATTCTTTCAGCTGGCTGCAGATAAAATACTTGTAAATACAAAAGAAGAGTTAACAATTTTGTAATCAATAGTATATAGAATATGTAACTACCATATCAAAATTGACTCTGTTCCTTTAAGAACTGGATGCATACATTTTCTGGCTTTTGCACTACAAAATATTTTTCTTTACAGATGATTTGTAACTTTTATGTCATACTTATAGAACAAACCAAAACCAAACAAAAATTCAGGTTCTCTTTAAATGCATTTCCTACACATTGTAGCTACTCTTCAGTGAGAAAGCATGTTGACCTCTGGTTCACATCCTTGCAACAATGCAGAAAAGTAGTAATCACAAAATATAATTAAGTGATCTCTTGATTTTAAACTTTTGAATCTGATGTAATTTAAAAAAAAAAAAAGTAATACTTGATTTTAAATTTCAGTATTAAGAGATTTCAGTATAAAAGGTCTGGGCCATCACTGAGCACTTCAAATCCTTCCCAGTTTCATGCTTGTTATTTCAGAAGCAATAACAAATAATGCCCTTATGGCAGAAGTATCAGATTCAAAGATTGAATTTCTATTGCTCTTAAAAATATAAAAGAAATCAGAAGTATAAAACCTGATGCATCAATAGTGATTAAGAAACAAGGAACAGAAGGCTGCCGACTTTTAATAACTGCAAAAGATGAAAACTGACTTTTAGCAAGTATTCTTTAGTCCTCTTACTGGCATTTGAAATAAAGGTTTCGAAAAATATGCTGTATAATTACTTTATTGTTTATTAGTGAACATTTTGAGAAACTAAATTCAGGATTCCAGTTCTTTTAAGGTGTTGACAATCTATTTTACAGATGCATAGAAATTGTACAGGTTGCATGAAAAACAGTGTTAACAATACAGACAATAATAGAAGTAGAGTATCACACACAGTCTCCAAGTTTCTTTCTTTCTTCAAATTGTTTGTCTACTGCAAGTGACAGAGCCTGAAGGAACGTTGTCATTGTAACACTGGGGGACTGAAAATAAGGGAACATTTTGTTATATACACTACACTAACAAGCATACATAATATTTCACATACAAATCACAGTATGTAAAAGAAAAATATTTGACTTCCATGTCAAAGATTTCTAAATGCTACAAAACAGAAAACTGCAGGTTTATTTTAAAATAGTAAAAATCAAAAAGTAAAATCAAAGTCAAGTCATGCAAAGTCTTGAATCAATCAATATTACTGTGGATTTAGCGCAAAATTACTTTTAACAAATTAATATTATTTATAAAGTGGCAAAGGGTTTTCTTTCAGCAAGAAATTAGAGAACCAATATAAATGTTCTGTCACAACATTTAATTAAAAGTAGAATGCTGTTGAACAGATCAATCCCACCCATCTTGTTCGAACTCATTTTAAAATATGGGCATCACAAAATCGTTTCAGTCAACCAAGCTGCAGGAACAGTGCAATTTAGACTAAAAAGGGAGTTAAAGCCAAATTTTTTCCTTTGGGCAGTGTCCCAGTGTCTTAGCACCTGTCTCAAAATGAAACCAAAATATAACTAATAGAATAAACATACTTGAGTAGAATAAACTTACTTGAATATAAAGTGCATGTGCTAGGAAAGGAAGTTTTCTCAGGACTCTGCCACTAAGACCTTCACTTTTTCTATAATAAAACAGAGATAAGTGCTGCTTAAATGTTAAATATTCACTCTTAAAAGACAGTCTTTCCTTTTTCTGCATTTCTCCCATAAGTTCCTCTACAAAAACTCAAATCACAATTCAAAATACTGCTTGATTTTGTGAATATAATTTTTATTGTTTCAAAGTCTCCGGGGAGACTTTATTGCAGTCTTCCACTTCCTGAAAGGTTCCTACAGGAAAGCTAGGGAGGGACTTTTACAAGGACAGGTAGCAATAGGATGAGGGGGAATAGTTTTAAACTGAAAGAGGGCAGATTTAGACTAGAATTAGGAAGAAATTCTTTACTGTGAGGGTGGTGAGGCACTGGCACAGGTTGCCCAGGGAAGCTGTGGATGTCCCCTCCATGGAAGTGTTCAAGGCCAGGTTGGACGGGGCTTTGGGCAACCTGGTCTGGTGGGAGGTGTCCCTGCCCATGGCAGGAGGGTTGGACTTGGATGATTTTTAAGGTCCCCTTCAACCCAAACCATTCTATGATTCTAAGAATTGTTACACTCAGTGAAAGACTCTGCTCTACTAGCATACTCAGTAAATCACAACACTCTCCATTTACACTTCACTCCTTTCCCCTTTGCATCTATCCACTTATACCTTGATTGTATATTACAATATATATTGTAGATAAGTGGACTGCAAAGCATTTTAAGACACTTTCTTAGCAGGAACTAAGGCCAATGCTATTCCTACTAATCTGCCTGACGCATTTCACTCATCCAGCCAGCAATTTGTCAAGAGGACTTTAGCTGGCAGAGCAGAAACCAGAAGCAGTACTAAACCAAGCCAGATCGTAGATTAAGAAATGCTGACAAATCCTGAACGCTTCCGTCTTTTGTCCCCTGAAAGGTTTTGCACTAACCCTAAGAGAAAAAACCCAAGACGTTTCAGAACTTTAGCTGTTATGTGATTCAATTACTTTCAGGTATCATTCCACAACTCATTATATGTAGATATATGCATATACACACACATATATTAAAAAAATGTAGAATTTCAGAATCTTACCTGGAGATTTCTTGTAGTACAAGGCTTAGCCTTGACACATTATTTTCTACAAAGCCTATCATCTCTAGCTCTCTAAGTGTCAGGAGCTGCTGTCGAGGATATATTATTTGACACTAGAAAGAAGAGTTACACACTGTTGTATGAAAAACTTAAATACATCAAAAATTAAATTCTACAGTGAGAGTGGAGATACAGAGAAGGAATGAAGTTTGTGTATTTTTGTAACATAGGAAGTATGATCAAAATGTCAAATTTATTAAAATAGGACATTTTACAGTCTTGCTTTCAAAATATTACCTTCATCAGTTCTTCCAAGCAAGAAAGATATATTCTAAATATTGCTGCAGTGGATGGAGGTCCAATGTATTGTTTTATATCAGCCCTGTCTACAAAGGCCAGGTCAATTTTCTCCGTAATATTTGAAGTAGTCAGGATAACTACATTGGGATACCTTAAAGATAAAAGCAGATTTTTAGGTCACCTGTACAAGAATGATCTCCTTTTGTGACTGGCAGATTGATACCTTTCTTCTTATGACTCAAGCCATTTCATGCAATAAGCAGTCACAGCACTCCTATCAGCCAGCAATTACATTAAACAATCTGCAGCCCCTGGACAATGCTCACCAATCTATTTCAATGAACAGTCTCTTTCAGCTGATTCTCAAGTGTCCATAGCTTCTCCAATCCTATTTTAGAAGTGATATATATATAACTATCTAGAGCCTATTGGCATAGTTTCTGCCTCAAAAAAAAAAAAAGATTATGAACACAAGACTCATAAATGTTAACATTTAATCTACATGTTTTCCATTTCAATTCAGAAGTAAGTATGTAGTTTAACCGGCAATGTGACACAGTCTAACTGTGGATGGCATTAGAGTGAGCTTAAAAGAGAAGTAAAATCTCCTTGCTCTAAGAAACATTGAAAGAACATTCTTAACCATAGCTATTTTTAGATGAAACACGTGGACTTTTATGTATGAATAAGCCACTTATCTTTAATTAGTGACAAGACAGGGCCAAATACTAGGGCACCTTTCTGCATGTGAACAGAGCCAAGTATGCCCAAAAAGGAGAGTGAAGTGGCAGAAATAAAGCAAGACATGGTATACGCACTAAATCAAGCCCATAAATCAGACCAAGCATCATTTATGATTGCCCAGTCTGACCTCGGTGCCAGGGAAGGTGATGGAACAAATCATCCTGAGTGCCATCACACGGCACATGCAGGACAACCAAGCGATCAGGCCCAGTCAGCATGGGTTCAGGAAGGGCAGGTCCTGCTTGACCAATCTTATCTCCTTTTATGACGAAGTGACCTGCTTGGTGGATGAGGGGAAAGCTGTGGATGTTGTCTACCTAGACATTAGTAAGGCCTTTGACAGCATCGCCCACAGCATCCTCCTGGAGAAGCTG